CTTATAACAGCCAAGATATGGAAGCAACCTAAATGTCCATCAGTAGATGAATGGATAAAGAAGATATATATATACACAATGGAATATTATTCAGCCACAAAAAGAAAAGAAATCCTGCAATTTGCAACATGGATGGATCTAGAGAGTATTATGCTCAGTGAAATAAGACAGGCAGAGAAAGAGAAAGACAAATACCAAATGATTTCACTCATTTGTGGAGTATAAAAACAAAGCAAACAGAAGGAATAAAAAGGTAGTAGACTCATAGACACCAAGAAGGGACTATTGGTACCAAAGAGGAGGGCTTGGGGAGGGTGGGTGAGGAGGGAGAAAGGGATTAAGGGGCACTATAATTCACATTCACAATATAGGTGGATCAATATCACAATATAGATACAATATGGGACAGTAGTATGGCATGGAGAATATAATTAATGACTATAACATCTTATGACACTGACAGACAGTGACCACAATGGATGGGGAAGGTCTGATAATATGGATGAATGTTGAACCACTGTGTTGTATATGTAAAACCATCATAAGATTGTATATCAATGATACTTTAATAAAAAACAATAATAATCCACATGAGAAAAGATAGTGAATTGGATTTGCATTAGTGTGGCAGTAGAAATGGTAAGAAGTGGTTAGATTCTGGATATATTTTGAATGCAGGGCCTATAGCATTTGCCACTGGAATTGAGGTAGGGTGCGACAAAAAATGATGTGTCAAAGATGATCCCAAGGTTTTAGAGATGAATAAATTGTAGAATGTTATTATCATTAACTGAAATAGGAAGAGCATGAGAGTAACAAGATTTCAGGAAAATATCAAGAGTTTGCTTTTGGACATGATTAATTTTAGATGTCTATTAGTCATCCAAGAAGAGATATTAAGTAGGCAATTGGCTGTATCAGTCTGGCTTTCAGGAGAAAGGCCTAGATGGATATGTAAATTGGGGGTTCATCAGTCAATAGATGGTATTCAAAGCGATGGTATAAGATGAATCCTTCCTTCCCACTCCCAAGTGTGTATACATGGAGAACTGAGCCCTGTGGCACCCACAAATTTAGAGAACAGGGGGATGAGAAAGAACCATGCAAAAAAGATTAAAGATGGACTGCCAGCGAGATGGGAGAACCAGAGAGAGGGGTACTCCAGGAATCAGGGAGGAAAACACTTTACGGTGCAGGTGAGATCAACTGTGGCTGACATTGCTGACAGATCAGCAAGATGGTGACTGAGAATCAACTGTAGTTTCTGGGACTGTGAAGGTCTTCGGGGACTTTGGCTAGAGCTGCGGTGGAGTAGTGGGAACACAGACCCATGGAATAGTTTCAAGAAAGAACAAGCAGAGAGATGATGGAGACAGAATGTACAGACAACTCTTGTCTATGAGTTTTGCTGGAGAGAAGATGGCAGGAATGAGGTAGGAAATACAGAGAAGTCAGGGGGAAGGAAGATGGTGTTGGTTGGAGGTTGGGTTTGAAGATGGGGCTACTCCACTGTATTTTCAGGCTGGCAGGAACGATCCAGTACAGCAGGGTTACATGCTGATGCCGGAGGCAGATGGAGAGCTGCTGAAACTTTGTCCTTGAATATGTAGAGGACAGGAGCTCTGGCACACAGTAGGAGGGTGTCCTTAGAGCCAACCAAAGCAGCTCTTATCCGCTTTATATTTTGCAGTTCCACCGAGAATTTCACTAGGAGAAACATGAGTGTTTTGCTGCTAATGTTAACAAAATAACTGATAACTATTTGCTTTATTTATCCATCACATGTTCCTATGAGTCTTTCACCCTCATTTTACTAATAAGGAAAACTCGTAGAAGTTGTATGACTTCATCAGTTTCTCAAAGCTTCTATGAAAACTCAGTCTCAAACTAGCCTGGCTGGTTCCAAAGCCCATAAATGGTCCACGACATCAGAGCCTAGAATTCCCACAGAGGGTCCACCAGCTAATGAGAAAGGAAGCACATGGTCTTAAGATGTCAGGCAAAGAAAATCACAGCAAACATAAACCTAAAAAAAAACCCACAAACAAGCACTGAGGAGGCCAGAGCAGGCTGTGCACCTGGACCTTCAGTGAGGCCTTTGGAGAAGATACGGTTTGTTTGATGGATTTGAAAGGCAGAGTAATGAGAGTATCAGGACCTGACAATGTTACAGGGACGTCCTGACCGAGCTGGACTCGGAAACAGGGCTGCTCAGTCCTATGTGGATGAGAGGGAGCAAATGACTCCACTTGCAAGAGGTGGAGAAAAGCAGGATGGGGCTTCTCTGGGTTTCCCATCACTTCAGTGATTATTTATGAAGCTCCCACCATGTGCACAGCACAGAGCTTCACACTTAGGAAATAAAGAAGGGTGGTTGCCTACTAACAAACAAGTGAAAAAACAGAACCAGATTCATAAACACAGAGAGCAGACTGGCAGTTACCGTAGCAGTATATTAGGTATGGGGGCGGGGAGGTGGGCGGGATCAAGAAGGACAAACTTTCAATCACACGATGAATACGTCATAGGGATGAAAGTACAGTAGAAGGAAGAGTCAGTAATATGATAGTATCTCTACATGGTGACAGATGGTAACTACACTTACGCGGTGACTGTCTTGAATGTAATGGTTGAATTCTTATGTTATACACCCAAAACTAATATAATATTGTATATTATATTACTATGCTCCAATTTAAAAAAAAAGAGGGGGACATTCTCCGGGAAATTACTTACACAATGAATAATCTGAACGCAGCTTAAGATTCCTAAACACCTGGATCAGTCAGCGTTCTCCAGAGAAACAGAATCCACAATATATAGATATGGATATAGATGATAAAGGTATAGATACAGATATAGGTACTCTATCCATTTATTTCTATATAAAGAGATTTATTTCAGGAATTGTAGCTGCGAGCAAATCAGAAGTAGACAGGGCAGGACAACAAGCTGGAAAATGGGGCAGAAGTTGATGCTGAAGTCTTGAGGCAGAAATTTTTTCCTTCTCTGCAAAACTTCAGGTTTGCTTTTAAGAACATCAACTGATTGGATGAGGCCCACCCACATTATTTGGGGGGATCTGTTTAGCCAATGAACTGTAGCTGTTAACCACATTTACAAAATACCATCACTCAACACCCAGATGAGTGTTTGATGAAATAACCCAGTGCTATAGCCTAGCCAAGCTGACACAGAAAGCTACCCATCACACATCCTATTAGTCCCCAACTTTATTCCATAGAAGCCCAAAGCAGGTCCTTTATTTTAGAAAACATGTGCTTTTTCAGAGTTACTATTTCTGATGGGATTTCAAGCTGTAGACCAGTGAGAGGCCAGAGGAGGGGCTGCCTCTGAGCCGTTGTACTGTTAAGAGTGGTTTATAAAGGTTCTAATTCATTGTAATTAATTTTTATTGTGCAGAGGCAGAAGGCTGGTGGCGTGAAAGGGGGTAATTTCACAAGTCAAAATAACAAATAAGTAAATACAAATAGTCCCCAACTTCCCAAGAGCAGATCACTGTCTGCAGGTCTCGCCTTTCCTGCTGAAACACAGATTCAGCCCCTGTTGCCCACCCAGCAGCCCTGGGCTCTTGGCTCCTGCTTCCCACCAAGGTTCCAGGAACCTGGTTTCAGATACCCCTTCCCTCCCCCATGAGGCAATGTTAGGGCCCTTGTCAACCAGATGGAGAGTAGATTTAGGGTGTTGAAACTACCCCCCAAAAGGCAAGGGATTCGCCACAGGGCGGGCCAGGGAGGGAAGCCCCGGTTTGTTGTGCTGGTTACAAACAGGGCCACACCTGCTGGGAGGCCCTTT